GAATTGGGTACCACATAGCACATGCCACCACCTCCCAGCAAGGCTGTTTCTTTAACCAAAAAGGGAAGTGATCCTTAATATCCTTTACTTCAGGACTCCCCAAGACCTTATGAATTAAGGTACCCATTAATCCATGTAAGGGATTAGATCTACTGATATTTCCTGTACTTGAAACACTGAGAGTAAAAAGAGTCAAGTAATCTATTCTTCATACAAAAATACTTTTTCATAATAATTTGCTGACTGTCTAAAATAGACTTCAGGGAACTGCAGGGAACCCAGGACTACTCTTCAAAAACTGCTTAATTAGAGATTTATGGAACACCTGTCATGTGCATGTTGAATTGAGCTCTATTGAAAATGTGGAAATTCAGCTGAGGGTGGCAGAATGAGCAGAGGCAGAGCAGTGGGAACAGAAGAAGCCTCCAGGTGCACTCAAGCAGTGGACAGGACCAGTGGGGCAGTGACTAGAGAGGGAAGCAGAAGCCATTTTCCCCTATGATCTCAGTTTTACTTAAGTGCCTCTGAGCAATACTATTTGTTCTGAAGTTTTGTTACATAAAACATTTTAAGAGCTTTAAAAAATCAGCAGTTTTTAGAGATAAGATTGGTTTCAAGTGATGTAAGATGTAGTATATTTGCAGAGTAACTGCCATTTCCCAGGAGGAAAGGAAGTGGTAGTTTCCTTCTTTGAGCTCTGGTAAGGCTTAGAGATAAGCCAATGTGAGATTCTCTTCTTCATTCAGTTCACATGGAATCAAGTGGATTATTTCTGTTCATTGCTGAAAGAGAGTGAAACTTTCCACCCAACATTCCTCATGACTTCTGGGAAATCTCAGGCACGTAGCACACAGCTTAGGTGAAGATCTCTTCTGCCAAGCCTGCCCTTCCCATCACTTTCTGGAGCAGTTCCTGGTGACTCATGGCATTTCCCTGCATCTGCTCTCCCAATTCATATCAGTGGGTGCATAGAGAGGAAAACAGGGCCCAGTGCTTACCTGGAGACCATCGCTCCTCTCAGAGAACCAGAGTCACAGGCTTATATCCAAATGAGTGTGTAGTCAGATCAAGTGAGGGTCTGGAGTTTTAGGAAAGGTCCAATGACTCAGGTAGCTTCCAGCGATCACCTTCCAGAAAGAAATGAAATCTGGCCAGCTACATATATCTATATAATATAGGATGTGAGTATGTATGATGGTCAGAGGCAGGGAGACCAGGGTATGAATGTATGAATGTTTAGGGTCTTTATGTTTTGTTTTCTGAAATACATATCACTGCACGTAAGACAGAGCAAGTGCTAAGTATTTGACAAAAGACAGAGTAAATCAATGATGGCAGGCAGGCAGTCAGGCAGGTGGGTAGGAGCATGACATTGTGTGCTGGATGTTTAGCCCTTGGGGCAGTGAACACTTCTTAGAGACTCAATCCATGCAGGAAGGTAGGTCCAGACTTCCATATCCCATTTGTTTGCCATTAATTCGCCACTGAGCTTGCATATTTACTCTAATGGGGGGAAATGAGCCAAAGTTATGGGACAGTAGCTCCACATGGAAATTTCAGATGAGAAAAAGAACTAAAATAAATGAGCTAAAAAGAATAGAACTTAGAGATAGCAGACAAAAATAAAAATAATAGCAAAACCTGCATTGAAATATCCATTCTTGGCCATAGTTAGCAAATAAATGGTATTGCTAAAAGCTAGAGGCTTGGGTCATGGTTCAGACCTGTGAGGTACTGGGTTCGATCCTCAGCACCACATAAAAATAAATAAAAGTATTGTGTCAGTCTAGAACTAAAAAATTAAAAACAACTACATGCTAGGATTTATACCATTATTATTTTTTTTTAGTGAACATTAAACCATCTTCTACATGTAGAAGTTAACAAATAACTTATAAAACACAGATGAAAACTAAATAATATATATTTTGCATGCCCTTTTGGAGATATTTAGTAGATTCTGTTCAAATTGGAAATTAGTATAATTAAAACTGGAATTCATCATACAGTGCATAGATACTAAAAACATCTCTATAGTTCTTTTATAACTAAATTTCATCATTAAGTCCCCACACCACTAGATTTTTGGGGAAAACAAAATCACCAATTAAAATTGTCACCAGACAGCGGTCATCTTTTCTCGGAAAACGTGAAGCAACTGTCTTCTTGGAAGGAGACCAGTATTTTTGTTTTGTTTTCAGGGTTTAAAAGTAAAAATACTATGCTAACATTCATCTTCAAACATTCAAAACAGGATTTTTAAGTGAGATGATACCTTTCTATTCTTTGAAAGTGTAATCCCCATTTTAGCATAATAGGACTACAAGAGAGGTGAATATAGGAAGTGGGAGGGAAAAAGCCTTCCCCATTTTGTTCTCATTATCCTTGGAGGATGGTGGGAGGGAGAGGAGGAGGGGAAGGAGGAGGAGAGGAAAAAAAGGGAAGGGGAGGGGAGAGGAAAGAAGGAAGAAGAGAGGGAGAGGAGATATAGGGAGAGAATTTTGGGGGGAGGACATGAAGGAGAAGGGAGGGAGTGGGTGAGGAAGGGGAAAGGAAAGGAAAAAGAAAAGGGATCCATTTCCCTTCTCAGTCCTGTATTTGGAGAGGGAAGTGAGATACTGAGTATGTGAGAAGGAGGAATCTTAATCCCCAGCACCTAATCCTGGCCTCTAGGAAGTGGGTGTGTATCAGTGAGTTGAAATGAAAGGAATGAAGAAGCATGCAAAGAAAGGCTGAAGAAAGAATATTTCTTTTGTTTCTCAGTGTTTCAATCCTGGTCACAAAAAGGTCCAGAAAATGAAATAACTTAACCCTTATGAAGGTGTCTTTAAATTCTTAAAATAAATTTTCCTTTCTGCTTAAACACTAAAATTTTCTATAATTTACAATCAAGAGTCCTAAATAAGATGATATAAAATGTAATTTAAAAATCCAGTCACACCAATAAAATTTTCTCAATGCCTTGGATTTTGGTGTACTCTTTGATTTGACAATGCTAATTTAGTTCCTCGAAACAAAAAAGTATGTATTTCAAATATTGTACTCAGTGCTTTTATTTAATGAATATATAGAACTTGTAAGTACACACAGTTTTAAAAATGCTTCCCCAGATCCTCGTATAAAACTTTCTCCAGGAAGAAATGTATTTTTAGACAGATGCAATTTTTGCAATTCTGCCTGCCTTTCCCCTTCATCTACTCACAGAACCCATTTCCATGGGTAGTTATTCTACCTTCTCAACTCAGGTGGCTCTGCTTGGTTGTTTCCATCTCTTTTTCAGAGTTCCACATGTGACCAAACCCAGCTAATAAAGCACCGAATCTTTCTGGCCACAGTGATAGGTTCAAAGTTTAAGTAGGCACATTGAAATCTGTTTAGGACTTGTTTTAAAGAGAACTCCTTTCTAGTTAGTTTCGGAAGAATATGTAAATTCAGAACTGTTGGGAACTACCTTGCCTCAAGTTCTGATCATGGATACATTCCCAGTACTAATAAGAAATTCTGGAACACAGTAGGTTCTCAATAAATCTTGATTGAGCAGTTAGTTAATAATGAGGAGAGCAAAAAGGGGAACTGGAGAAACTGATTTCCAAGGAACCCGTAAATCTAGCAACAGGTGAAGCCAATTTTATTGCTAGATTTTGCAAACACTATTATGTATGAGTTGGGCTTCCTTCACTTGTAAGCAGCAATTAATAAAAAAAGGCATAAACCTATATATAAATTTACACTATATATTGGAAAGTTCAGTAAATCTTGTGATTGGTAAGGAAAACATAAATCAATATTATCTTGAGAAAAGATAAAAAACTCCATAGTAAGTAAACAGAAAAAATCAAATAGAAAAAAATCATGATGTAATAAGGACTCTACGCAGGGCTTTTCCCACTTTGAGTAGAAAATTTTAAAAAAAATCAAAGATAGATAAAATTCTAAGAAATGGAAAAATGGACAGTTATATCTCTATTAGAAATAGTACTATCCCAGGAATTAAACATGATTCAATATAGGAAATATGTGATTAAAATTCATTATATTACACCAATTAAAGATCTTGATCCTTCAAGATAAGCTGAAAAAAATCACTTGACAAAACTCTACACATACCTGTAGTTTAAATTTTTAGAGCAGCAAGTTAGAAACAGAATTAGAATTTAACAAAGGATATCTACCAGAAACTCAGAGCACACATCATCCTTCATGAAAGGACATTTACAAGCATTTCCCCTGAAGTCAGTAACAAAACAAAAACTTCTGCTGTTTGTCAGTATTTGACATTTTGTGCCAGATCCAGCTAAAGCAATCCTGATTCTAAACAACTATATGAACTATGAATAATTGATAAAAAATAAAATCTCAGGGCTGGGGATGCGGCTCAAGCGGTAGCACGCTCACCTGGCATGCGTGTGGCCCGGGTTCGATCCTCAGCACCACATACAAACATGTTGTGTCTGCCGAAAACTAAAATAAAATATTTAAAAAATTCTCTCTCTCTTAAAAAAAAAAAAAAAAAAAAGACCTTATTATATTCTTAAATAAATAAATAAATAAATAAAATCTCAGCAATCATAGAATGGGATTCTCTTCGATTTTCTAAGTTAAGAATACATCCACAGACTCTTAAAAGAATTTGGCAGTGTCACAATAGAACCATATAAAAATCAAAATGCTTTTATAATAGCAATAACCATTTATAAAATATATTAGAAAAAGAGATTTCAATAAAACAAAAATAAAAACCCCAGAAATAAATTTGTCAAAAAAATCTATATTTTAAAAATCTATGAAACCAAGAAATGCTTGCCCACAAGTAATCTGATTTAATGAAGAAAAACAGTGTACTTAACTAAAAACACTCGTATTATGGTTTTCTATAAATCAATCCTACTAATATAATACAATCCAAATCAGAACTTCAAGAAAATACGCTCACCAGTAGCCAAAAAATTTTTGAAAAACATTAGGGCTCTACCCCACTAAATCTGAAACCATACCACAACTATCATCAAAGTAATACATTTATTAGAAATATAAAAGAGCTCAATAAAAGATTTTAGTACATTTAATGAAGCAGAATCTCAAATCAGAGACAAAAGAATTAATTTTTCAATAAATTATTTTTGAAGACATTTGAATTAAGGCATGTCTATACCTTTACTTTAATCACACAAACCAATTACAGATAAAGATCTAGACATTTAACAACTCACACAGATGCACATTGCAGGAGAAAATACAACTGCAAAATGAACAAATATAAAAAAGATTAAAAAATATGATTAATATCTTAGAATAAGACAAAATTGATCAATTTGGCTATATAAAAATATAAAATCTCTATTAAAAAAAGAAATGCTGGGCTGGGGATGTGGCTCAAGCGGTAATGCATCACCTGGCATTCGAGGGACGCTGGGTTCGATCCTCAGCACCACATAAAAATAAAGATGTGTCCACCGAAAACTGAAAAATAAATGTTAAATCTCTCTTTCTCTCCTATCTTTAAAAAAAAAAGAAATGCTAAGTAAGGTTAAAGACAAGCAGTCAACTGGGAAAAAACATTGGAAACAGACATAGATCAATATCTAAGTTTTATAAAAACTTAACCAAATCCATGAGATAAAAAGACAAATCATTCAATAAAAAAATGAGAAGAAAAAGATTACTCACCAAAAAATATGGTCTAAAACAAACATGAAAAGATGCTCATCTGAATTAAAATAATTTTTTTCACTCATTAGGTTAATAAAAATTATAAAGATTTAAAGAGTTCCATGAGAAGGGGAAGTAGCTGCTCATTCTTAGCTGAGGGGAACATGATACTCATTTTGGAAGCCAACTTGATGGAAGTATCTCTTTAAATTAAAAATGCTTATCCTCTGGCTCAGCAATTTGAATTTTAAGCAATTACTACAGAGAAATTATTACATGCACATAAAGACTCACATAAGATGATGTTCACTCCAGCTCTGTTTAGAATTAGAAGAGAGGACTACTTAAGTGTCCATTTTAGGCCAAACAGATTATGGGACATGATGCAAAATAAAGATCAGTTCAATGAGAATGTACTAAAATAAAAAACAAGTGGTAAAAGCAAGTTGCAGAATGATGTAAAGATCTTTATGTAAAAAACCATAACTATACATTTTATTTCCTGTGGTTATATACAGAGATTGAAGATTTGTCAAAAAAAAACGTGTCTGACATTCTTAAAAGTACAATAGTCACTTATTATGTTTAATTTAAAATTTAAAGATACAGCAATATACACAGACTGATTTTTAAAAAAATATATACAAAATTATATTCTTTTCCCCTCCCTCTTTGATGGTAAATGCATAGAAAAGCTTCTGGAAGATAACCTGCCAAACTAATGTGGGTAATACTACCTAAAGATATCTCCAATAAAAATACACATATTCAACTCAATACTCTCATTTGAAAATATAAAAAAATTCAGTTCATGATTTGTTAAAAAAATGTTTTCTGTTGATAGTTATTATCATTTGTTTTAGCTATTTACAATCTTTACAAGGTATACAACTGCATACTGTATTTCTGCCATATTTCCACAATAATTATGTTGAGAACAGGGGAAATCATATTCAAGAAAGTTTTTAAATTTTTTTAAATATATTTTTAGTTGTAGATAGACAATAACTTTATTTATTTTTAATGTGATGCAGAGAATTGAACCCAGTGCCTCAGGCTAGGCAGGCAAGTGCTTTACCACTGAGCTATAGTCCCAGCCCCTCAGGTCAGTTTTTAAAGGCAGAACTTAAATCATTATAATATTTCAGTTAGTGGCTTTAACAAATTGATATATATTTTTAAAAGATAACCAAAACTGAACACAAACTTACTTCCCTAGTTTACTAATTCTATATTATTAAATAAAAACACTTTAACATTAAATTCCTTCTTAGTCAATTCCTTTTAAGGACTGCTTTTTTAGGAGGAGATAGTCTGTAATACAAACTCTAATATTTAACAAGAATGTTACTGGTGTCTAAACTAACTAGCTGCATTTTAGGAATGACACTACTTTTGAGTGTACTAAATAAAAGCAGTTTTTTAGAACACTGTGCTTTTAATTTTAAGAACTGCTTATTTTTAGCTTATGTATTGCTCAAGTACTGAAATATAAAAAGGAAAATGATGAGGAAAGAGAAAACTGCCAGATCTTCCAGGTTTTGCAATAGTTGAGACAGAAAAGAAGAGTCAGTAGTTTCTTCCCAAATAAAGCAAGTCATCCATAAAGAAGGAAAATCTCTTTTAAGGACAACCTTCAATAGAAATTGGAATTCCCCTTTCCTAGTATGGATATCCATTCAATCTTTTTCTATAACAATTTGCCTTGGGCAAGTATCCATCATACTTCTGATTCAAGAATAAGTTCCTTCATGATTGATTGACAGTGGAAAAAGCACTAGGCCTGTATTAGAAATTCAGATTCATCACTGAGATCCCAGCAACCTTATACTGATTCTTCTTCAACCACATATGAAGGCAGTACTAGATGATGTCCAAAATGCCTTCCAGCAATAAGAGCCATGATTTCATCAAAAACTACCAAGGAAAGAAACACTCCTTTTTTCTTCATAAGGGCATTTTTATAACTATATTACAGATCCCTTACAACTGACATCTTTAACTTAATTCAGTACTTCACACTAAATATGTAGTATCTCTTATATGTAACATATTAAAAAACACATGCTGATAACAACAATTCAAAAAGCCATAAAAGTACCTAAAATGAAGGAACTCAAAGTAAGTTATCTGATTCTTAAGGCTTTCCAAACAAAAGTAGGGGAAATTTTATTTCAAGAAAGTATTTAGCATTTAAAGTATTGAATTATTTACTATTCATGTAGTGCTGCACTTTTTTCACACTGAACCCATTTAATAAAAATCTCTGCTTTCTTTAATCACTTAAGGTTTTTTTTTATAACAAAGCACTTTTGATATAATTTAAAACACACATGCTTTGATTGAAGAGTGATTGTAAATGAATCCAGCTTTCTTCCACTTGTGATGACAACTTTGTCATTTCTTCTAGGAGTACTGGTTCTGTAGGAAGCATTTTAAGGTGTAACTGAAAAGAAAAATGATAGATATTTTATTTAAGAAAATTAAATTTTACCTGATTTGGATTTTTTTTTTTTCCTACCAAGGAGCCCAAGGAAATACTATCTAATTTTCTCCTTTAAATGCTGGTTTATTATTCTCTCTGATTTCCCACTTGTTCATTATTTTTTTCTAAATCATGACTTCCTTGATGGACTGTCACTTCCTCAGCAGAACTGAAATAGTCATCGTTGTTCATCAAACAAAAGTCCTGAACCAAAGTCCTATTTCTAACACTAACTCTAACTAAACTTGGTAAATGTGGAAAAATATACAAATATAATCTGTGGCACTTCTATTGTTCAACCCTGTATGTTACTGTCTAGCTTTTTAATAATTTTAAAATAATTAGATCAAGTGAAAATAAGTTTTAGATAATTAATGAGACAGATAAAAAATCATGTATTACTAAAAATGAGCATCATCTATCCTTCAATGCATTAGACTATTAAAGAAGACCTTCAAAACACAAGCTCTCTATTCTCTCTATTCTGTTAATTATAAAAGCAACTGCTGTGTCAAATCACTTGAAATTCCTTCAACTATAATAGAGGTGAATATTTTGATTTCAGCAGTAGAAAAAACAAATATAAAATCTGACTTTTTCTTTATGATCAAGAAAAACATAAAATATAACTACTTAGAAAAAGTTAATGGTTTAGTATATTGGATCAAATGATGACATAGGAAAATTAAAAGGTACAGTCAAAACTGTAATAAAGTTATAATAAAAAGTAAAGATTACCAAACTGTGTGGTCCAACTACTTCAGTGCAGTAGTCCCTAGCCACATGTGACTATTTAAACTCTAAAAAATTAAAAATTCAGTCTTCTAAGTCACACTGGTCATATTTTCTATATTGAAAAACCCACAGAAGGCAAATGGCTATCAGGACAGTGTGAATGTATAGCATTCCCAGCTTTGCAGAAAGTTCTACTAGATAATGCTGCTAAGGAAGGTAGGTGGAAAATATTAGACTTACTTTTAGAAACAATGCAAGGTATGCCTGGGCTAACTCAAAATCACGCTTTCTGTCCAACATCATCTCGATCATTTTCAAGAAACTCTGCATGACTTCTATAGATCCACCACAGTCAGGAGACAAGTTCCTTAGCTCTGTTTCAATTCCTGATGGGCCCATTTCTTTCAGAAGGCTGAGAGCGGCTTCATCTACATTAATTTTAAAAGGAATCCCATTATTACCTATATTCACTAAGAAGCTACAGTTTTTCTTTCATACCCCACACAAGATATATTTAAATGGCATCAGAAATTTTGAGTGTTATTTTTTTTATGTTAAGCAGTAGAATAAACTCCCAATAAGTGAAAATCAGCAAAAATAACAAAATCAATACAATAAAAATATTGAAAGCACTAAATTTTCTGAATTTATAGTAATTTAAACTTTCTTTCCTGCTCTTAAATAAAATCTAATGCTTCATGACACACACTTCAAGGTGCTCACAAATCAATTAGAACAAATTCTAACACATGAAGACCATCAAGGTACATAACAAACTATTAACAATAATTACCACTGGGTATAAGATAGAGATTTTTTTTGCTTTCTCCATTTTATTATTATAAAATTGTAAAAGTACATGATAACTAAGAAATAGTAACAATACAAAAATATATAAGAAGGGAAAGGCGCCAGGCCTTCTTCTGATCCTTCAAACCTACTTCATAATTGTTTCATGTGCACTCTACAAAAATATACTCAACAAACCATTTTATATGAGATTTGATACTGTAATGGCAATGACTGCTTTTAGCTTTTTGAAACACCACCGATGACAAAAGGCTATAAAAAATATTATTTTTATGTCACTCAGTATATTTTGAATAATAGTGTTTTTGTTGTTTGTCACCCCAAAACACAAGTCTTTCAAGGGCATCTTTTCACTTTTGCCCATATGGATTTCATAAAAACAAAAGCATTAGGATCATAAACCAACAGGATAGATCAAATGTTTCAGAAGACTACTTATGATCTTTACAATTGCTTACAGTTAATAGTTTCATTAGTATTAACTATAGACTATCACCTTCAAATTTTAAATATATTAGCACATTTAACTCTATACATTATAAAATTTCTATAAGATAATATGGAAATATAAAATTACTTAAGACAAGTCTCTGTTGTACTGAAAATGGCATTCCAAATCAAATATATAAATAAAAACAAAAAGCTTGAAAATTACCTACAACAAAATCGTTATATTTGATACACACCAAGATCCTCATTATAAAAGCTGTCAAAATTTATCCTTCTCCAAATTGGAAAAAAAAAAACAAACCCAGAAAATCTGTTTTTTTTTTTAAATTATTTTCTTTTAGTTGTCAGTGTACCTTTAAGCACTTTATCACTGAGCCACCACCTCAGTCCAGAAAATCTAATTTTTCATGAAGAAAGTATGTGGGGTTTTCCATGGATTTTTGCAATATCAATATCACCTGAGTTTAATGTGACTCATTTAATATAATTTAAAAGGTAAATCAGTTCAGATTAGAATTAAAATTTCAATCCTTTTAGTTTTTACTATATCCTTTTAGCTACTTTCTTTTAGGAATTTAATATTTCCTTCAATTTCTTGTCACATAAAATAAGCTGCAGATATTTTATATAAAAATATATTTTATATTTTTATAAAATATTTTATAGTTTAACTTACACGTATTATTTACCAGTCCTTCTTCAAGTCTCAAGCAGAAATCTGACTTTTGAGCCAAGATCCCAAGATTTACAACTTTAGACTTAAACAAAAACAAACACACATTATTCAAAGAATATAGGTATCGCCAAAAATTAATGTTGATAATTACAAACTATCAATAATTTACAAAACTGAATCTTGATAAAGAATGATACAAAATATATGCAAACATATACTCCCCATATTTTAAAAAATTTCTTCTAATTAGTTATACATGATAATGGAATGCACTTTGATACATCATCTACAGATGGAGTATAATTTCTCATTCTTCTGGTTGTACATGATGTAGAATCCCATCGGTCCTATAGTTATATATGTACATAGGGTAATAATGTCTGATTCATACCACTAACATTTTTACCCCTATTCCCTCCCTACTTCCTTCACTCCCCTCTACCTAAAGTAACTCTATTCTTCCTTAGACCCCCACCCTTTATTGTGAATTAGCATCTACATATCAGAGAAAACATTTGGCCTCTGGATTTGGGGGATCAACTTATTTTGCTTAGCAGGATATTCTCCAGCTCCACACATTTACTGGTAAATGCCATAATTTCATTCTTCTTTAAGGGTGAGTAATATTCCCCCCGCTCTCAAGGAGTGGGAAGCTGGGTCAAATGATGATTCCATTCCAAATTTTCTGAAGAATCTCCATACCTCCTTCCTTAATGGTTGCACCAATTTGCATTCCCACCAGCAATGTATGAGTGTACCTTTTCCCCCCACATCCTTGCCAAAATTTACTGTTGTTTATATTCTTTCCACTCTGACTGGGGTGAGATGAAGTCTCCCATATACTTATAATGTTTCAATTTGGTGTTTACCTGCTGAGGATCATTATTTTGTTCAGGTGTAGCATATCTGGGTACAAGACCAGGGACCGTTGGAATAAAAAATGGTGCTGATTTGGGTACTCTGGGTGGTTCCTTTGGTTTATTCTTTTTCTGATTAAGAGAAAATGAAAAAAGACTAGTAAGTTGTTATCCTGCCAACAGATTCTAATATTTAATTCCAAATTAATTTAAACACAAATATCAAAAAGTAAAAAAGATGAACTTTTTCAGATTAGAATGCTAAAATCCATTTGACCAATACCTCAGCTATTCTTTTTTTTTTCATTTGTTCTTTTTAGTTATACATGACAGTAGAATGTATTTTGACAAGTATCGTATGTACGTGGAGTATAATTTCCCATTTTTGTGGTATATGATATGGAATTACATTGGTCACGTAACCACAGCTACTCTTAACCTGGACTTTTCTAAATTATAGATACCTTTAGCAGTGTTCCTTGATATTAAATTATTAGAATAATTACTACATTTTGTTATAGGTATCTGAATCAGTATTCCTAAAACTTTTTATCACAGCTCATGTTGTGCCTTACTACACACATAAGCTTAGTGATGGTGTATATGTGTGTACACATACATAATTGAATCAAGTTTCATAAAACAATACTTGTACTATCAGAAGATAACTTGGAATTTTCTACTCTATTCTGTTTTTTTCAATTGCTTTTGCAACTTACAATTAGGGGCCATAAAAATACACTTCACTAACATATACCACAGATAATCACTTTTCATGTGAAATTTTAAATTCCTCAAGAACACAGAGCCTCAGTTTACTGAAACTGCTGTAGTCTCAGTACATTATCTAGTACCTATGTCATGTTAATTTATGTCTGTGACCCTGACACAAAAGCTTTAAAAAATTTCTCATAGTTAACAAAGTAGGTTATGGGATGACAGATTCTTAATTAAAAAGCTTAAAAAATTAGTGAAATTTTCTTGCCTCCAAACATGTATCAGTAGATACACAAATTATAGTAGCAGTTTTTTTCCCCTCTCATTTTAGAAGCTTAGAAAGTAATTTATTAGACTGGATTTAAAAAAAAATTCAACTTCCAATAGCTCTGTAGTTTATAGATTATATTTAGGCCGCATCCAAACATCTACAGAGGACTATCAATGTTGATTACTTCGGGATAATCAGAATAGATAAAACGGCATTCAATTAAGTGGCATTACTTTTGCTATGTTAACTGCTCTCTTCCTAATGCCTTCAATGTAGGGGAAGTTAATTCTGCAAACAAGCAAACAAACAAAAGCCCTGCCTGTGGAATGTGTGCTTGAAGCTCAATATTAAATGTATTATAACATTACCTTAATAACATCAAGATTAAGAAGGTTCTTCCACCGTGATTCAGGGAGAAGTGAGAGAGTCACCAATTGTTCATTCAACTGTTCTGGTGAATCATACTCTATCATTTCATCACTAGGTTCTACATTTTCTTCTGTTATATCTATATCTTTAAAAAATACATATTTTTAAGGTAAAAGAAATTAGTGTGAAATGAGAATTTTATCATAAAAACCAAATTTAATCATTCCAAATCCATTTATATTCTGTAACACTTTCAGTTAATATAGCCTTGTAAACTCTTTTCATTTATTTCCTATGCTTATCCTATTTCCTTATTTTCTCATATTAACTACAACTCACATCATAAGAACTAAAATGCTTTCAACTAGCATTTTATTTAGTATCGTATAGATACTATGTGTATTATATTTTTGCATAAATTTTAGTCATTTAAAATATTTCATATCACAGTTTAAAAACTTTGATTAAATGTATTGTGCTCTGCCTTCTATAGCAACAGCCCTTAAACTAGATTTAAAATAATATCAAAATTACTTTGCTATTTTGTGGTTACCTTGGGTTTGACAAGTCCCAGGAAGCATCACTACTGAAGGAACATAATCTGTAGGAAGTGGCCGTAATGAGACAACTGAATACAGGGAAATATTGGACCTGAGAAATCAAAACAGAAACAATATTTTAAAGTTATGTTTCTTCACAGAAATGTCAATATCTGCTAATAATCTTTACATCTTGAATTGGGCCACAGACTACAATCACCAACTAGTTAAGAAAAGACCTTAAAGATTAAAAATGCATTCATTTAGGTCAAAGATGCCATCACAAAAAAATACTGTATAAGAAATTAACAGAATCTCTATTTTTAAAGTAGTACAAAAACACATTTAAAAGAGATCAGAAATAGATAATACTTTCATAAGGTAAAATAACCTCTATAATATTATTTTAATAAATATCAACTTCATTTAAGGAAATTATAAAAGGAAAGATGGACTCAGAGACGGAATATGCTGACCAAATTCTCGGTGCTGCTGAAAAGTCATAGATTTCCCTTTTCTACAGTGGTGCACTTAAGTGGCCATGTTTCTGCTACTTGACCTGGCAGGTAAGCCATAGATCTGTAACCAAGATATTGACATCTATCCCAAAGCAGGAACAGATTCTTCTACTCACATATTATGAATCTCAAATGAAAAGTAAAAAATTTAGATTCTCAGGTCCTGAATTAACATTAATTAATATCAGTTCTATATAAAGAAGTTCATTCTCCTATGGCAGGTATCATAGCTACTATTATCCTTTTATTTTAATGGTTGAAGCTTCATTGATTCTGGGAAATAATAATTTTGTTTATTAAGATGGCCAAAATCTATTTCCATTACATATCAAATTTACCTTTTTATCTTAAAAATGTAATAACATCATGTAACTAGAATTAGAAAAGAAATCAATTTTTTCCTCTTCCCCAAGAATAAGAGTTAAAAGAATTAAATATATGAACTCAAGACAAAGATTACACTTTTCTAGACCCAGGGGATCTAGAATAATCACAGCCTAAAGTTCAATCTTAGAATTTGAAGATCACCATAAATCATCTTTACAAGGTTAGTAGAGTCTTCCTACTAGGATCAATGTTAGAAAGCATTATGCCTTATTTTATAAAGTAGGTAATGTTCAGAAGGGATTAGTTAAAGTCATACAGCCATAGTGGGAAACTAGAAAGAGGGTGAGGGCTTGGGTGGAAACTTTACTTTTCTAACCTTTTAAATTCCTTTTCTAACCTTTTAAATCCATTTACCTTTTCTGCAAAAAAAAAAAAAAAAAAAGCCAAATATGATCATATAATTTAGAATATGCACTTGAGGAAAGCTATTAAAATTATCAAGCAAATGTTGAATCAGTCATAAAATTTACAGTGAGTTATCAGTGTATTGACATTTCCATGTATTAAAAAAAAACACAACTAAATGGCAACTTAATAACCATGATTCTGACAATATCACTATTATCCTTTTTCTTCTCCTACTCCTAAAACAGTACTGTATGAAAAAACTCACCATAAATAAATTCCAAGGTGGTCCACGTGGGAAGTGGCTAGAAAGTCTCCAGTAGGGGACATAGTAACATTGAGAGGAGCTGCGTCCAACAAAAAACAGTCTACAAGGCTGCAAGAATTAAGATGTTAAAGTACTTAAGCTTTACTAAAAAAGATATAATGCACAAAAATTATTTTTGCTCAAAGAATAAGTAATGAGATTCAGAAAAAAAATGTAATTACCTACCACCAGAAAGTCATCACACATACAGTTCTGTTAACTAAGTTACTATGTGAAAATAATCTCTTAATGAGAAAGACTCAAAACTACTTATTAGACTAATTAACTTTAGGGAGAATACAGGAAAAAATGCTCTATTTTTCTAACACCAAATTTTGTTATATTGACTTAAGGGCAATTTTAAAGACATTACACGTTGAAAATAAATCTATTATCAGTACTTTCCTGTATCTATTTTTTTTTTTTACTCCAGCGAACAATAAAAGGCTAAGGCAACAAAATGGCAGTAAATAATAAGAGAATAATGACAGAAAAACTTTTGAGCAATTCTACCTGTTTTCCAAATAGGTAGCAGTGCTATATATGAAAAAGTACAAACCTTCAGTCTTCAGAGATTAAACATAAAGCAGCTTATAAAAACTAGTCCTGCAGCTTTAAAGTGCTAAAGGGGTTTTAAAAGTTGAAAAGGAAAGGGGAGTGACCACACCCAGGTAGGAGACTCTTTTAGAAGAGGCTTCAGAGAGAACACAATGTTTGAGCTGAGCCTTACGAATGGCCAGGATTTCAAAGAATGCTGATGGTAGAAAAAGCATTTCCTGAGGGAAATGTGGAAGGCAACAAAAAAAAGTACTTGGGTATAGTGAGTAGTACAGTTGGGTGGAAGCATACAGAATCTTGAACATCAAACATCTGAATTTGTTTTTATATTATGGCTGATAGGAAGTCACTGATACTTTTGAGCACACAATGGTACAATCTTCACTTTCATAAGAATATTTGCCGTCAGAACACAGAACAGGAATATCAGTGAATTATGGTAGTAATTATTTAACAAAAAAGATCTCAATAGAAGCAAAGAGAAAGACCTGCACTCATTCCCAACCTGCTAGGAAGACTCCTTAGGATGGTTATGAGCAGGAATACCTTTAGGAAGAGTATACTGGCTTTAAACACAGCTGTTTTAAAACCACTTTATTTACTAAACACAATACACTATCCACCGAAAGATAAAAATCAAATGACTAAAGTTCAGAATCTACATCAAAAAATACAAACTATAAGAACAACATAAAGCAGTTAACTTTGTTTTTGATTTTTTTTGTTAGTGTTCTGGACTAATCCTTGCAGCCCCATAAGGCAGGTCCATCCTAAGAAAACTGAAGCCCAATAAGATTTCAAAACTTGACAGGATAAAAGAAAGAAATTAAGTCAGGATTTGCAATCAGTCAAATTCTCAACCACATTAACTTTAGTAAAGTAACTATAGAAAATTAGGGTACATCAAACAATGGGATAACATACATACACACAAACAAGGTATGTCTACACTGGTGATTCAGAAACACACCATGAAAGATTCAAATGTAAATAAAGGCTCTCCAGTGGAGATATTAAGTGACTTACATATGGTAAAATCTCTGAAGTTGCTAAAACTATTGTCATTTCTCAAGTATGGGGTACAGGGGAGAAACAATCTGTTTGATTTCTGCTCAAGGCCACTCTGAATGGCTTTTCTTGGAAATCAGGGAAGGTGGGGAAAGGAAATTTTTGCTAAACACTTGTATTACAAGCCAGAGACTGTTATTTATGTTAATTCTTTTAATCCAAACAACCCCGAGCAGAAGATATTTTCTCAGTGTATGTAAATAAAAATTAAAATATAGCAGTTTCAGATCTTGTAATTTTTCCTTGTCTTTAACATTCTTGTTCAGCAAAAATTTAAGTATGTGAGGGGTGAAACTTCCTAACATGTTTAGAATCTATCTGTCTGCTAAGAAAAGAATTAATATTGAGCAAACATACTTTACTTGACATTATAATATTTTAGGGGGACAATTTCTTTGTGTAATTTCATTTTTATAGTTGTAGACTGATCTTCCATTATGTAAAATTCCCAACTGAGGTGGCAGTTTCTATATATGCACCATATTTTACACTGTCATTTTGTTCATAAAACCTAGGTGTGCAGGCTTTATCCCAGAGCTGAAACTACTGTGTGGTCTCCTGAGAATCCCACAAAATGAAAAGTTGCAGGTATAATTATTTTCTGAAAAAACATTAATAACATTCCTATTCTGAGGAATCAGATTTTCAAGATCAGAGCCCTGCATATACAGATAACCTTAAGTAAGTTATTTCTGATTATTATTCTGGAAAAATTGATAGTGTCCACATAGTCTATCTCCAAAGTAATGGAATAACCTTCCACAGGAATCCTTAAGGAGCAGCAGAGAGAGGTAATTTTGCCTCAGTGACAATTGCAAAACAATGTTTTATTCCAATTTTCTCATGCTTATACTCCTCAGAAAGTAAGGATGGGAGAGAAGTGAGAATAAATGCAAAATTTAATTATAAAAGTATTTAATTTTATGTATTTATCTTCCTCCAAAGAGTTCAACCTGAATTTCCAATAAATCAAAAACAAGCAGAAATAAAAAGTGGTGGCATGTAGGTAGGTAAATGACAATGTAACTTCAGGGGTTAAAAAATATTAAATTTTGTTTAAGAGAATTTTAAAAACAAAAACAAATTTCAGTCCTTAAAATAATTTATGGTAAACCATTCAATAACTACGCAATTTTAGATCACAATTCCAGTTGTGTGTACGTCTATGTTACTACCTCCAGAAGTTTACTTGATAGTTTCGCTAGATGGACTGCTTCACCTTTTAGGTTAAATAACAAATATAACCATTCTGTAAATATTTAGCATGCTATACAATTGATGAAATTGCTTATTATAGAGTCAGGAAGGGGACTGGGATTATGGCTCAGTGACAGAGCATTTGCCTCGAAAAATAAAGTTATTATGACCATGTATAACTAAAAAAAATTTTTTTAATATAGGAAAGACCAAAGAGAGGGGAATCAAAGACACTCAATAGTTACCTAGGGTTGTATGATAAAAATATTAATTCTTGCTTTTTTAATTATTTGTCTTCCACAGCAAGAAAAATCAATGCATCCTTAGAATATGAAACCATGAGCAACTATTGGCTAAACTAATTCTCCTCTGCTTTTTTGCTCTGCCATTTACAAACTACTCACCAATCACTGAATTTCTTCCTGAACTTTCATTCTCCCACTTGTACAGAAGAAAACAGTATAACAATAATAATATCCGTGTTTATTAGAATATGAGAAAATAAAGGCATTTAATGTGCATAGCAGCATGACAAATTTTAGTTTAGTTCCAGTTAAGCAGCATTAGTTGTTTGATATTGTTTGTCAACATGTTTCATTACTGCACTTCAAATTTTTACTGAAGAACTACTTATTATTCTTTAGTAAAAATGTACATATATGCAATAACAGTAGATTTTATTATATTTTCTTTGAACAACCCTAAGTGGCTCATTTCTTGTTCTTGTGCTGTACTGAGTTGTATTCATGCCTCTGTATTAATCTAAAATGCCTTGTGTTCACCTAAGAATAAGAGTTGTAAATCTATCAAGCTTAAATCTTTTTTTAAAAAATATTTATTTATTTTTGCATTACAATTCATAATACACCATTATATCATAATTTATCATATCTCTGATTATATAAAAGGTGTCTTGTCACCAAATTCACATCTTCATACATGTATTTTGTATAGTGATGAAGGTCTCCTTTCACCATCCTCTTCTCCCTCCCTTTCCCTTCCACCCGTATTCCCTATCTAGAGGTAATTTTTCAAGCTTAAATCTTTTCAACTCCTTTCTGTAATAAAAATTCAGCAAAAAGGTTAATGCTGAGTCAAAGTTTGGAGGCTTTGAATGCTACTTTCAGATCCTAATTCTTTCATTCCAAAGATAAACTTGCCACTTAAAAAATATTTTGCCAATTTAGTCTTACTGAACATTAACCTATTTCTCCCACCTAATGTGAGCCAACATTATTAAAAAGGAAAATAGTAAGCACATTATGTCAACTCTATTATTTGTACAACTTTCTAACTTTAATTCAAATTATATAATGTTCATTTTAGAAAATAATAAAAGGCCAAGAAGCATCATACTACCAAAATTTCTATTAGTGTCTTCAAAAACAAGGTTTTTACAGCTAGGTGTGGTGGCACATACCTGTTATTTCAGTATGTTGGGAGGCTAAGGCAGGAGGATGGCAAATTTAAAATCAGCCTCAGCAACTCAGTGACACTCTGTCTCAAAGAATCAAAAGGGTTGGGTATACAGCTCAGTGGTAGAAGTGGTAGAGGGCTTGACTAGAATGTGAAAGTCCTGGATTCAATCCCAGGGACCAATAAAAAGTAAGTTTTAAATTTAGGAAATACCTACTTTTGCTGAAGCAGAAATCAGATTATGCTTTACTCTATTTTAAGTAAAAGAAGTTCACACCTGTAGACAAAAGTCCCTAGTCATTAGAGTTTGACCCACTAGTGACACTTTAGCTATGCTTATTCTAAATATAGTGTATATGCTGAATAGGTAGGTATGCTTTATGCCTACAAAAAAAACTTGAAGGGAAGTGAGAACATCAGGGATTTTCCCTTTTAAAGGTCAAACTACTTTCACATATGAAGTTATCTAGTTCCTGAGAAAATGTTGGATTTGTTTTAAGTTTCACTCCATGAAACAGATTTCTGATACTGCTATGCTTTGAGAAGATATAGCATAAAGAGGAAAGCTAGGGATTTGACCTTTTAATGAAATTCAATGTGAAAAAAAATCAAAAATCTAAAAACGAAAACACACTCAGAAAGTTTGCAGTCCTAAAGTCTGAGCTCTATTTTGGGTATTAAGAAAAATAAATGTGCTATCTTAAGATTCATACAACTCATTTCTACAGATCTACATTGCAGAAGAACATTTTAGGAGAGATGTGTATTTTTTTCAATAATTTTTCATGATGCTTCAACTTCCTACTGTTTTAAGATTCAAAATACTCCAAGAATAAAATATAGTTATGCTAGAAAAATACCTAAATACATTCATGTTAAAAGAACCCACATGATCCATTAACTACAGGTAACAGTCACATGTTAAGACAATGACCAAGGAATCATCTGAAGAATTTAAAAGCAAACTCACCAACCAGATGGAAGGTCCCAAGTCCTAACAGAGCAATCCATTGCAGCACTTATTAACCAACGACCATCAGGACTGAAAGCCTTGAAATAAAACAAACAAAAATAATATTTTATATATACATATAAAAATTTATATCTGTATGCATGGGTATATGAATATGTATTTAACTCCTTGAAAAATACAAGACTTGAAAAAATTCAGGTTTCATGAAAAAATAAATAAGTAAAATTCAGGCTGCCTTATGTTACATAAAAGAAAATATTACTTCTATATAAATTGATCTGAAATTTATAAGGATTAAGTTTTCAAATTAACTATAAAAAGTTTAAAAGATTAAGAGCATCAGCCCAATTTTTATACCACAATCTTCTACTTGTTTATAGATAATTAACAAATTCTGAAGATAAATCATATTAAAAATGTTATTGGTAGAATATTCAATAAGAAGTATTTTGCTACTCTAATTTCAGTTACAAAGTATTTCTGAAAGCAACAAAAACTCTTATTTCCTTGAAGAGTCTATATATTAGGCTGTCTGGCTAAGAATCTGTATCACCACAAAATAAAAGTAAAGAATAAAAATTCTCTTACAATATTACTAAAGTCCTTCTGCTTTTATCTGCAGCTCTACTAAAAACTCACTTTTTCTCCTTTCATGATGCTTTATTTCTAAAATATAATTCAAAACTACAATTGGAAAGATTTTAAAAATAAATTTAAATAATGGACTATTTATGCCACCTTAAAGAAGTTATCTTTTCCAGCTATAAAAATAATAAATAATAACCATTCCCGCCTGCAATATGGAAGTTCTGAGTTTTAGATCAGATGTGAAGGACCCCAAAGGAAAAAAGTTTAACATTTTTTTTTTTTTTAAAGGCAAGCTGGTCCATTTTAATTTTTTTTTTAATTTATTTTTTTTTATTTTTTGGTATTTGGCAGACACAACATCTTAGTTTTGTATGTGGTGCTGAGGATCGAACCCCGGCCGCACGCATGCTAGGCGAGCGCGCTACCGCTTGAGCCACATCCCCAGCCCCAAGTTTAACATTTATAATGGTAGTACATAATTCATCAAGGAGTCTAAACACAACAACAGGATTATGATCATTAATATTAGCAAATGATACTGAAATAAGCTGAATGCTAATTTTGTTCATAAGACTGCAGCAATATCATGGAAACTCAAACCTCAGGGTATAAATAGCTCAATTTATAGACAGATGGTGCAGATAGTAGATTATAGTAAAAAATAACTCTCAGAAGGTCATATTATAAATGCTCACAAATTTACATGATCAGGAATAACTTATTACTAAGAAGGAGAAATTCTAGACACATTAGGATAAAGTAAAATTTAAGAAAAGAAATAGGAAGAACAAGTTAATACCGACAGATGTTTTAAAAAATGTCATTTCATCATAATTACACCACTTCCACCCTTGTTTCTACAGATGCTGTCAAAACAAATTCTGTTGATGAGTAATTTTGCCAATCTCCTAGTTGCAGAACATATTTTTTTCTTAACCAATTTCTTTCTTTTAATATTAAGGAAAGGTGTAAGCATTGTAATTCTGATTTTTGATGTTAGACTCATAAGTAAATGAAGCTGATGGGTTTGTCACTCAGTAGTTAGGATTTTATTTTAATTTTTTCTCTTTTCAAGTAAATTACTCCATTTGCAACTGATTCCAAATAACAACATATACTTAACATAGTCCTCAATGACAAATTTATTTTAAGGTTTATCTCTTAATTGAAACATGCTTTTAAAAGTAGTTTAGTTCTTACAATATCAAACATCCCACTAAAGAATATAATGGCAAACTTAAGTACATTTTTATTAATTAGACTCTTCATATAAACTCTAGAAATTATAATAAACTACAATAAAACAGATATACAAGGCTACTATTAACTTATTGTGTAAAAAGAAAAACAGAAATGCATTCCCTAAGCCTACTTTTATATTAAGTCAAACATGATACGTATCAATGAAGTATTCATTTTCCAAAATAAAATGTCTTACACAGATTTAAAGAGAAAAGGATAAATTACTCTGATAGCATCAATTTCCTGAAAAATTTTAATTCTTTCAATTGTAAGTTTTCCTTTAAAATCTCCTTTTATAAAATCTCTTAATATGATAAGCTTAAGGCTATTAAAAGATATCAGATTTAATTTTGTAAACATTTTTAACCCGGAGTTAAAAAAAAAAAGAAAAAGAAAGAAAGAAAGAAACAGTTGTTTAAACAGCTAAGGTTTGTTTTACCATGTCATTTATTTGGCCTTGGTGTCCGGAAAACACTCTCATAATCTTCCTAGTTTCTATGTCCAGAACACTAATGGAGAAGTCATCCAAGGCAAGTCCCAGAATGCCACTAGCAAGATAAATGCACCAGTTAAGCAAACAAAACTCTGGAATCTTGTATTAGTCAAATATGCCTTTGATTAAATTAAACCATATGTTGTTCTTTATTAAAACAGTCTGATTTTCCCCATATGACAAATCTGTACTTATGAACTTTTACCAAAAACATTAAAAAGCAAGTCCATTATCATTAAAAGGAAATGTTTACCTGTCCCTATGTAGCAGCATCATATTTGGAGATGAATCAAGGCTCATAGAATGGATTAAGTTTTTGTTTTTAAAGTTCCAAAATTTGAGTAATCCTTCACTACCAGCTGTAACTGTCAACTGATTTAATCCATCCACTGCAACACCTCTAATAGATCCCTTATGAGCTTTTAAGTAGACAAGAAAAAAAGAAATCAGAATTGGTACTGTCTACTGGAACAATACAAATAATTCTTTCCAAATATCTAGATTTCCACTACTTATATTCTTGAAAAATCTTGAAATTAATCTGCCAAATGAAGTTGGGATAACTCATGAAAAACTTACTTAAAAGAAAAAAAAAAAAAAAAGAAAGAAAATTCAATACCTTGATCCTTGCCAAAACTTCCCCGATGTATCCCGGACTGCATATTATACACATCTACACTTCCTGATGAAAGACCAATCACGGCAAAGTTTCCACAAGAAGTAATATCTACTGCCTTTACAGGGGAAAAAAACAAAAGCAAATAACAAAAAAAATAATATTTTAGGGCTGGGGTTGTAGCTCAGAGGTAGAGTGCTCGCCTCCCACGTGAGAGGCCATGGGTTCGATCCTCAGTACCACATAAATAAATAAAATAGAGATATTGTGTTCAATTACAACTAAAAAATATTTAAAAAGAAAAAGAAAATAATATTGTATTGTGCTTCATAGCTTCCAAAGTCAAATCTACCAATAATTTTATTTAAAAAAAAAACATGAAAAGCGAATTGATTTATTACTTTTCTTACACATAAAAGTGACAAATGCCACTATGCAAGTGAAGACATATTTCTATAGCATGACATACAATGTTTCGTGCACATAAATTTTTCTAAACAATTAAAGCCTACTACTTAAATTAAAATAAAGTTCCCTTTAGCTACTCCACTGATTTCCTTTGATTGAAGGAGTATAGCAGGAAAAGTGAGGAATTCCTTTGAGTGAAAGAGTATGGCAGGAAAAGTGAGGAACTATGGAGTGAAATTAACCAAATAATGCTATGTACATATATGAATATTTCACAGTGAATTCCATATTCCTGTAAATCTATAAAGCACCAATTAAAAAGAAAACAATAAATAAATAGAAGGAAGATCAGTAAAGTAGAAGAAAGGGAATAAGAGAAGGGAGGGGGAGAAAGGAGGAGAGAGTGATAGGAGAAGTATTGAGGACGGAGCAAATTACAATTCATGCATGTATGATCGTGTCAATATGAACCCCACTATTAAATATAACTATAATGCACTAATAAAACAAATTAAAACAAAAACAAAAAAATACACTCAAAAAACAAAGTATTTTAGAAAAATTGTGAAGGTTACCCTTGAGTAATAAATTACACTTTATTGCATGGGTTCTATAATAATTACTTCTGTTTATTACTTAATGATTTCTGGCTTTGTTCCAAGTAGCTGAGGATGTTAGACAAATGACTCAGCACTGGTTAAGCATCATTGAACACATGCATATTAAGTGCTCAATGAGTGATCACAGTAGGTTGTAAGATCAGTTTCTAGAATAAGTTGTCTTAAGTTCAAATCCCTGCTGTGTCACTTCTAGCTTTACTGATCTTAGGCATGTTACTCATTACATTAAGGGTTAGTCTTATGTTCTATAAAAAGAGGCTGACAATAGACCATAACACAGGATTATGTAAACATAATGTGAGTACACACTACGCAGAGAGACTAAAGTAAACGTTAGCTGTAATTATCCTTTCTACTACTACTACAAACACTACTCAGAACTCTGTAGGTAAGTTTCCTAAAGAAGCTTAAGATAAATCTCTATGATTTAGGAAATTACATAAAAGCTTAAGACTAGCTTTTCATACTATGGAGATTAGAACATATGTACTTATAATAATGTGTACATAATTGAGTCAAATGTTGAGTTAAACGTTTAGTCAGCATTTTCAAAAGCAGAAGTATCTATTAAGTAATCATTAGAACAGGTACACAAGTTTAGCAAACTGCAAGATACAAGATCATTAGGCAAAAGTCAATTATATCTTTTGATACACTAGCAATGAAAAACCTAAAATAAACTTAAGAAAACAATTTTACTTAGCATTAAGAAGAAGTGGGACATACACTGACAAGTACAAACATTATTGACAGAAATTGTTAGGAAACCAAAAATGGTAACTCAAATTTATGTATTAATTAAAAAAATCCCAGCTGTCTTTTTTTTTTTGCTGATATTGACATGCTAATTTGGGGACCAAAATATCCAACAATTTTGAAAAGGAAAAGAACAAACTTGGAGGAGGCATACTATCTGATTTCAAAATTACAAAGTTAACATAATTAAGACAGACAAAGCACCGTTATAAAGACATATCTAGAGATGAACCATGACTACATGAAAAGATGCAACACTATAGCTCCTCAGAAGAATGCAAATCAAAACCACACAGAGATACTAATTCACAATCAACCTCAAGTAGGTAAATAAATTTCTGCAAGCTTAAAAACCTTACAATATTAGAGAACAACTTCAAAATGGTAAAACATGTTCTTTCCAACAATATCACTAGTAAACTTGAGTATAATAAAATTATCACATAAGTTTTAAAGGAGAAAAGATTTTAACAAAAGAGCTCACTTACTGTTGCAGTGATGTCATCTTTCTTCAATTCTTTTGGCTTGAGAAAGTAAGTACCTATTGTAGACCTTTGATAATTCCAGGTTGAGCAAGATAGCTTACCTTGATGGCAAGCAATGATACCATCCCAGTCACTCTCTCGAGCTTCCTCTAAACATAATTAAAATCATAAATCAAGGTGCTTTTTATCATCTCACTCATTTGCTCATCTATTATTAATTAAGTATCTAATATTCTACCTTAATATCTGGTACTAGGGATACGATGGTAAAATAAACAGGCTATTTCTGGAAAGAGCTTCCTATCTAACAGGTTAACTGATAAAAACTGTACATACGTATGGTGTTCAATGTGTTTTGACACCTTATAACATTGTTGAATGGCTAAATCAAATTAACTGACAATATCTAATAACAGATTTTGATTAGAAGAAAGAATGAGAAAGCATAATTGCATGACTATTTTATATGAGCACTCAGGAAGAGTTTTACTGGGAGATTTTGAGAGAGTAATAACTGGCTTCCTGGAAGGAGCAATAAACAAATAAAACTTCTAGCACAGAGGTGGGCAGAGCCCTATAGACAAAAGGCCCAAGACTAGTTGAACAAAACCAAGGATGGCAAGTAAGTGAAATGTGTTCCTGGGAGAGGTGAGAGGACAAGGCAACTGGGGCCACATTACAAGGATATTGAAAGTTAAAGAGGCAAAAGTCTACCTAAAGGTAATAAGGGGCATGAAAAGATTTTAAGAACATGACATGAATCAGCTATATGTTTTAGAAACATCACTTAGGCTCAAGGCAAATAGAAAGGTGATCAAAAAACCAAAGTAGTGATCAGGTTGTTATAATAACCTTGAAACAATAACCATAATATAGAAATGGTGCCTATGTAGTTATTTCCTGATAGTTTTCACTCAATCATCCTATTATATAAGTATACTTTTCTTAAATGCTTTTCTTCTGAAGATCTATGATATGGTATACTACTATTGTACTTAGATCTTGATTGGTCATGGCCACATCATTTCACATTTGCTCTCTGTTATAAATTTCTACATTAGTGACTTTCATTATACCAGATGATAGGATAAAAAGAAGGGCTATAAAATATTATTTATTAATAGGTGGTATAGAGAAGAACAAAGCCCAAGATTTAAAAAATAAATTCATGTCAAAATTAACTCATTTTCAATCTTCACACAAGATTAGTACATGCTTAAGGTTACCCTCTGAACATTTATTAGAATTTGCAAACATATATTTTTTTAAATGGAGGAAATAATGAAGTACAAAACAATAGAAGTTATTTACCAGCTGCAAACTTTGTGATAGGTGGAAGTCTTACTGACATGGTATTCTGAAGTCCTTTACGCTTGAGCTTCTTTTTATTAATTAATCCTGGGGTTGGGGAAGAGGGAATCATAGTTATGAATCTTTCTTCAGGGGGGAAAAAAATGCTCTTCACTGTCACATAACTATAAAGCTCAAGATGTTCTCACTTAAGTCAGGAGCACAACAAGGGTACTGTTATTATCAATATTATTTGTTTCTGAAGTTTGTGTAATTAAGATACAAAAGTAAATTATAAGGTATAAATAACTGAAAAAATGAGGTAATTATATTATTTGCCAATAATATGATAGAACCAACACAAATAACGATATATCACATTCCTGGATGAGAAGATTCTTAAAGATCAAATCTCTCCAATTTAATTCCAAAAAAAAAGGATCCTATAAGTTACTTGGAAGTACATACTTTTATGAATAGCTAGAACATTTACTTAAAAAAATAAACATTAATGAAACTAAAAAACATTTTTGTTTAAGAAACCTCTCAAAAGCTGGAAACCAGGAAGAGAATAAAGGAGCCCTTTAAAGTAAAAAGATGAGATGCTATTTATTTTGATGCTTTCTTTAAAATTGTTCCCATAATTTAAATTCTGCACTCTACAGATGGATCACATTAGGCTGTGTTTTTTGGGTGGCAAGAGTATGTTTTATCACCCAAGATACCTAACATTTTTTAACAGATTTATAGTAAGCAGTACCCCAAACACTTCTACAGTGATTTTGATCTTAGGATCTTACTAGTTTCTCCTCCATAAGGTTTGAATTTTATCCAAAACAGAGGAAATATACTGATGAAACCTCCTCCAGTTCTCCCAGAACCTTGCAGTTTCTTTTGTGACTAGCAACTTCTATTCTATATTGCAAATGACCTACCATGTCCCAAACTCTTATTAAATTTTTCATGTACCGTGGAAAATGACTGAAGAGTTCCATCTTGACCTATGGATATAAAAAGAAAATTCCTCATCAAGCTCCATCAAAACAATAGGCCATTTGAATCACAGAGGTTATAAAATTAGAGTCTACAAAAAGCTTAGTGTTATGGTTTGGGACATTTTAAAGAGAAATTACAATCTAAAAATGCGTCCAGCTCTCAATACCTACTTAAGTACTATGGGTAGAAAATAGAAACTCACTTGCACTTAGAATTTGTTGTCCATTTTGTCCATAGTATCTGATCCTGGTAAGAGGAGCGCTATGGCCCATTCTGAATCTCAAAAGTCGGCCTTCACCTGTGGGGCCATCAAATATCCATATCTGCCAAGAAATTAAATGGTAAGGTTCTTACACCATGTGCTCTCTGATCTGCAGTCAGGCAGGCCACTGACCCTGAAGTGGGGATTGGGAAAGAAATAAGCTGTAACTCTTTCCCACTTCATTGCAATGTCATCTGTTATACTTTTTATTTATCTATAACAATGTTTCATCCCATATTCCTTTCATCTTCTAATTTTGGTACTAGTACATTAAAAAGCAAGCTTGTAATAACCAAAAAGGTAGGCCAGATGAACCAGAAAAATGACAAAAATAATCATAATACCCTGAGAGCATTGTCAGCACCATTTGTGACAAGAAGAGGTTCTCTATGGAGAAATGTCAGTCCAGCAATTGCTGTAGAGTGTGCATTTCTCATTTGATTGATTAATTTTTTGTCTTCTAGGTCCCAAAGTCCAATATGGCCACATGGGCTTCCAGCTGCCATTATTGGATGACCATCTGTTATTAAAATAAAATATATGTTAAAAAACACAAGCCCCAAAACAAGTAAACTTGACAAATTTCTCTCCCTTTTAGCTTATAAAGTTAAAACTATACACTATTAGTCTTCCCATATTTTTTGCCTTGTTCTACTTAATACTTATTAAACTATAAGAAAACAATTTCTGTGATGTTAAAGTAAAGCATTTCAGGTGTTCTTAACTCTCATGAATAAATATGGTAAAGATTACCTGTTCGAAATGAAATCGAAGTTATGGGTCCCCAGTCTTGACGAAACTTCATTAATGTTTCATCAAACTTAATGTTGTGAATGATAACCTGACCTGACATAAGACCAACAGCAACAACATCCACAGCTGGTGCCTGAAAATTAAATTACTCGTAAGTTTCTATTTTCTTAAGCAACACAGCCTTACAATCTTTATGATCAACACTATTATTTATGTGTTAATATGAGAGAAAATCAAGTATCTTCTTAAAGGTGTGCAGAGGGAAATCCACAAGTATTACCATTCTGGCTATTATTAACTAATGCTAAGAGTTAATATTAACTGCTATTCAAATGGAAGTATTTAGGAACGATTTTTCCAAATTACTTCCCAGTTTAAATTTTGCCAGTCAATTCCCCTCTCAACTGTTAGAACAAAACAGTCTTGTTAATAAAAAGTCACACAGAAAGAAAAGTTTACATGTGCAATCACAACAAATCACTGACTAGGTGAAAGAGAAAAAGAGACCTCCTAGAAAATATATGAAGGCTTGTCATAGTATGGCAACATATGTAACTGGAAAGGAAGTAAAGAATTGTTTATCCACAGTAAACAGGAAAAGCCTGTAAAATACACTAAAAGGCAAAAAAATGTTTTATAATCTTCTCCAGCCATAACATTCTATGACTATAATTCTGTCTTATAATGGATAGGAGTGGCAGAGCATGGTTGATGACAGTGAGAGGGGATGAGGGAGTGCAAATAAAATGGGCAATGAATATTAGAAAGATCAGGAATAATAGCTACATGTGTAACCAACAGACTCACCAGATTTTCTATAGATATACATTCATTCATATACATATGTTTTGCTGACTCATAAAAATGAAAAGCAATTTTCTAAGTCTACCAATGAAAAAATCTTTAGGATTTTTGTCCCCAACTATTTCAAATAGGAAATCTCAACATCCTGATAAATTTCTCTGTAAAACCTATAGTCTCCTTTGCATCAATGAACAACTAATTTCTGTTCTCTATAAAGCTCTATATTACATGCTTGCAAAATAATTAGTAAACAAGGTCCCACAATAACCACAGGTTTAGAGCCTAATTCTAAACGGCAAACGTGTTACTACTTGTTGTCAGTGTACTTCCAAAACATTATTTCCTTAGTGGAACAGTTAGTTATAAACTATATTATTTTGTCTTAAGGTCTAAAAACAGGCTGATCCCTGAAACTACATGAATCTACTATTTGGTTTAACCAAAAATTACTAACCTGCTGAAGAGCAGTCACTCCAACCTTCCATCCTGGAAATGTATATAGAAGCTTACTACAAAAAAAAAAAAAAAAAAGAGTTGAAAGCTAAGGTTTTTTGGGGTTTTTTTTTTTTTGCAGGTGGAAGAGAAAAACAAAATAGACTATCGACTATATATTAAAGTAAACTAGTAACAGTAGTATTTATTAAATTCTTCATCCCACATTATTCTGAGAACATATTACCATGTCCAATACTCAAAATAATCACATGAAGTAAATATTATCACCTTTTTTCCAGAAAAAGAAACTTTAAAAAAAAGTGCTAAACAATTAAGCCAAGTAAGGTCATGTAGTTAAAGAGTTAAAAAAAAAAAAAAAAAAAGAGTGTGTGTATGCAGATTCTAGACTCCCAATCTGCAAATTACTATGCAAGGCCACCTCATTAAAAAATTTAAATGTTTGAGTAGAAGAAAAAATATGTGAGTAAAATCCATTTTATCTAGACAATAAATCTTGGAATATAGGCAGATCTCATTTTTTTTATTTTTTATTGCAATGTATTTCTAGAAATATCATCACTAAAGGGAATAATTAGATTTTTAACTAAAATAGTACTTGAATGTTATATGAACTGTCTTATGGAAACAGTTATGCTGCTCTCATATTGTGAATCAGACCATGAATGATTAAGTCAGTCTATGGAGCAGAGCTATCTGAAATCATTTTAATACTAGTCATTAAAATATTAAATTATATATTAAATTCTGCAAATGGGCACAAATTAGTCTCTGCAATAATTACATAATGGATAAAGTACACAAAGAATGTAAACATCACAAAGAGCCTAAGAAAAGAAACTTAAAAGCAGAGACAGCATCTCAGTCAACATCCCTGAGCATAGCAGAGTTGGCAGTCAGCGGTATCTGCCATTGAACTGAAATATTGATTCAAAACTAAACAACCTTCCCTTTCAAATTTACAAGGGCTTTGGAAAGAATAATTTAGGTAGTTAAATATTTTTGTTTGCTTGTTTTAACATTATACAAAACTTGAGTTAGCCTTTTCTCTCTAGATAAATGTTCAAGTAACAAGAGGTATTTAAAATCATTAATGTAGCCTTCCAGTTATATTAATAACATTATAATAGATATTCATTATACTGGTGGTTGTTGATCAAAATACTTTTTTTTCCCTTGAAATCATTTCTAAATGGTAGCACTAAATTAACACGAATTTGTTTTACCATCTCTTTCCTTCATTTATAAAAATCTAGAAGCTATCTAATGCTAATCTCATAATATTACTTTATAAAGCTGTCTGGATAGCCATATGGATTCTTTCTATTGACTAGTTACTGAGTCAATAGTTTAAAATGTGAATTCACTATTCAATGTGCATTTATGAAGTTGCTTATTTTGTGCCAGGACCACATGACACTTTTCAAATATGTGATGGCATTAAGTGATAACTTCTCATAGCCATATTTATTGTCAGCCCTCCAAATAAACATATAAGGGCAGAGAGAACTGAAATATGCAGAATACTTTAGGAAGCTGGGCATGGTGGTACACACGTATAATACCAGCAACTCAGGAAGCTGAGGCAGGGGAATCCCAAGTTTAAAGGCAGCTTCCTCAACTTAGACCCTGCCTCAAAATAAAAAGTAAAAAGGGCTAGGTGTGACTCAAAGGTAAAGCACCCCTGGGTTAAATCCCCAGAACCAATAAATAAATAAATAAGAAGAAGAAAGTAGTAGATGCGGATGAGAAGTACATTATTTATTTAAGTAAAGTGCTTACTTGGATTTTACATTCCACAACTGCAGACTTCCTTGTTCACTGCCCAGAAGTATTTTGTTCAAGTAGGTACTTGGATGCAAGATCGCAGAAATTTTAAAAACTGATTTATCGAAAGTCAATTGTAGGTATTCTTCTACAAAAAGTGAAAGTTACAAATAACATATAATTATTTTTTATAAAATAGTTTGACATTTATTTCATATACCCATATATTTACCATTTAAAGTAAGTTTACCACAGAGACTTATATGCTAATATAAATCAGACATATAAACCTATAAATAACCCCCAAGAACCAAGATAAATGTGATAGGGGCAACTTGTAAATGTCATTTAGGCTGTCAATATTATCTACAAGTTCTACCATAAATACTATTAGAAGTTTCACTACTTAAATTGGTTTACAGAAAAGAAAACAGGATTAAAAAATGATCATAGGGATCAACATTAATATTTTTATAATCTGATCAAGAGGCAGAAGTGAATGCTCCAAGTGAAGAGCCAAATATCTGGGAAGTTCAACGAGCCACTTAGAAGATGTGAAAAGAGGTGAAGTTTAGTGAAACCCAAAACAGTGCTTCTCACACATTTCCTCAGAAGACTCTAACTCAAGAGATGAAAAGAACTTAAAACTCTGGGAACTTAAAAACCCAGGTCAATGTGTTATTCTAACAGTAACAAAAAACCTAGGCATCAGCATCAAAAGAGTGCCTGAGACTTTATGAGCTAGATCTTATAACTTTATAAAGCTTTTTAACATCCACCCTTGAAGGTAGCCCAGCAGGTATTACTTGCTGCAAGATCAGAAACTTCTTTAAAATCTTACATTTATTATAATTAAAATTACTGTTTAAATTGTGTTTTTCACTTCAAAATTTGTTCAGTACTGAAACAATTTTTTTTCAAAAGTTTACCAATAAATTTGAATACTGAAGAAGGTGTACTACATACTCCCAGAAGTATGTATACCCCAGGTTAGAATGCACAGATATAGGTGAAAAGTATACAAACTTTACTTTGAATACTATTTTAAAAGATCCTTGTCTCACTACAAATAGCTCCCTGAAAACTCCAGGTCAATGTATTGTTCTAAAAGCAACAAAAAATCTAGGCATCAACATCAAGAGTGCCTGAGACTTTATGAGCCAGATCTATAACTTTATAAAGCTTTTTAAAATCTAACCTTGAAGGGAGCACTTTTGAAATTCTGTTACCCCAACTTGAGCAAAGATTAAACAAAGGAAAAGCATTAGCAATTTGTATGACAATACAGAATAACTCCCAGAAGGCAACCTTTAAAATGTTGACTAAAAATAAGAATACTGCATTGAACAATAGATAATCAAGACATATATAAGTTAAAAATGTAAACAGAGTAAAGAAGTTAAAAAAAGATGTATATTTTCCTTCTTATTTACAGATTCTTCAAGTTTACTATTAGCATCTCCTTTTGAAAGATAAAAATAGTAGGTATGAACATACATCAAAATCCATTCTACAGAGAAAACAAGTCACTAATTTTAAAGAACAGCAATGGAAAATATATTAGTTGAAATTAGCACATTAAACAAGTTGTAAGTAGTTAACTGACAAAAACTGCTTATTTACTTCTTATTTAGAATGTTTTCTCTTATCCATGTTAATTTTTTTATTTTGTTTATTTATTTTGACTGTTTTGCATGTGAAACCTCTGGTGTAGAAGTTATGTTCACATAGATTTTAAACTATACACATACAATCCCAAGACAAAACAAATAAATTATTAATTCTTACCTTCTGAATATACATGCCAAATAATAAGAACGCTGTCAGTATCAACAGAGATAATGTGATCCCCAAAAGGTTGCAAAAGATGGATTTCTGCCTTATGACCCTTAAAGGTATGTACTATCTATAAAGTTTAAAATAATTTCATATTAGTAGTCATTCATCAAGTAATATTATCCAAAAAAGGCTTTCTAATCCTAAAAACATTCATGTTAAGAATGTAGTCCAATTTTTTAGTATACAAGATTATATGAACAAATATTAAGGAGTTAGACATGTTCACCTGCTTAGCCAGTTCAATAAGGAAATAAAGCATGGACTAAGAACATAGAAATGAGAACTCTAGGGATTAGCCTCCCTACTGAGTTTAGGAAAAAGGTATGCATATATACCTAGATCCCTTGCTGATTCGACCATTGTAATTCCATTTATACTAAAAAAATGGTATTTCTAGAAGGCTGACCTCTAAGATTCCATCACCAACTGCCTTCCAGATGAGAAAGGGGAATATAAAGTACTTCTTTGCTTTACCTTCCTGCTTTGACACAGAGGCACTGACCTCACAGTAACTTATCCCTCCATCACTACATCTCCTTCTTCATGGTTTCAGCTCTCACCAGGCTTCGATAACACTACTTCTTCTGCCCTTTGGCCGGAGGATTGGTAACAGCTTCCCCAAGTTTATAGCCTTTGATGCATTCCTCCCCCTATGTTGTTCCCCCAACCCAGCCCACACCTGTAAGCAGAGTTCCTTCATTAAAGTGTCTCCATATGGACCACATACATATGTGTATTTATAAATACACATATATAGGTGAAATCAAATTTTCTCTTCCTCTATAAAACTGAGCATACATTAGAAAGAAAAAAATGGTACAAATTGAAATAGTTCAGTGATACAAACCTCTTTATTACGGGCAAATGCAGAAAAAATATTCCCATAAGCAGCGAAAACTAGCCTCCCATCAGCTGCCATACAGCAGATATCCTGTGGAACAGAGTTACCTAGAACATAAAAGAAATACAATTTTAAGATCTTGTAATAGAAACCATCAATATACATATAATATTTTTAATGGATATAATAATTAAAAATATATTTAATAAAAAAGAAAGCTGAGGGTTGAGGTTGTGGCTCAGTAGTCTAGAGTGCTTGCCTAGCATGTGCCAGATCCTGGGTTCGATCCTCAGGACCACATAAAAATAAATAAATAAAGGTATTTAAAAAAAGAAAGAAAGCTGAGAATCAGTATAAAATTTTAATCTCAATATTGACTGTTGTAAACATTAAGATTTGCAAACATAACAACATAATGCTAAATAGATAAAAAGAAGCTTTGTGAAGTATTTAGGAAAAAAAAAACATCATTTAATACATGAAACTGACAGATGGGTATCTGGCCCGCTTATGAACACCTTCAAGAACATAGAGTTTATTAGTAACTTCAGGAAAAATATAAAACTAAATTAAAACTTAGATCCACATCTAACTCAACCCTTTGGACCAACCCCAAAGAACTCCATATATACTCTTTATGTTGAGCCTTAAAATAATTAAAGACGATACAGTTTCTACTCGGTTGTCTCCAAGGTAAATATGCTTATTACCTCTAGCCATTTCTTATGGGACGTGATTTCTGGATTCATTTCTCACTAATAAAATCATGATGCCCCTTTTTCTTTCTCTTTTGGGGTCAGGGAGATGAGTAAACAGAAGATGATTGTAAGTATTTTTTATGTGCATACTCCACTTGGGGGATTTAGTTTCCATAATACTATTTCTATAGGTTTATCATTCACTTTTGTATTCAATTTAGGTTATTCTGTCTTCTGTCTTCTAATCTTTTAAAAATTGTTTTTCAGACATACACAATGTATTTCTCTTACAAGGATCACATTTTAAGGTAAAACTAATACCTGTTAGCTCTGGCAGGCCTTTAATGCTATTAAACAGTTCTTAGAAAAATAAATACCACCCCCATTGAAAAAAAATCCAAATATGAGACTCTTCCTTACAGTAGAAGGAATGATGGAAAAACAAAACCACTATTTAATAACCATCATATCACTAACTGAGATTCAGGCAAGTCTCATCACTAAATGCTGACTAAATGCAGCAGGTGAAACTTTGAAGAGCAATAGCATATTTACGGAGTCTGAATGCATCATATTACAAAATACTTATTAACTACAAAGGACAAACTAGTAATTTTAAAACACAGCATCCTGACAGATATCACCTTAACAATCAAAGTTATCACTGCCAGGAATAGCATGTGCCTACTTATAAAATTCACTGAGAATTCAGCATCATTTCTTTGTTACTCCTGTCAAAATACTGAATCTAACTATAAAGAAGTATCAGAAAAACTCAAACTGAAGGTTATTCTACAAAAGAATTAATCACAATGTGGTAAAATACAAAGAAATGCTGAAGAACTACTCCAAATAAATAAATAAATAAATCATGTGACAACTGAAAGCAAAACATGATAGTGATGATAGTGTCACAGTTTTTTTTTTTTTTTTTTTGCCCCCTATAGAGGTTTATTAGACACACACACTGGATTCTTTATATATTCCAGAAGCCTTAAACTTATGTCAAAAAAATTTTAAAGATACTAAGCCAGCATAAATTCAGAATAAAATTCACACTTACTTACTGCAACCAGACTAAGTTTCTGAACCTGTTTAAAAAAAAAAAAAAAAAAAAAGATTAAGTTTTCATAAGGAAAACAATTTTATAATAACCTAACACCTTAAGATTAAGGTACAACCTCATAGGTAAATCTGCTATGCTATCCCTCCTAGAAAAGATACTCACTGACTCTAAATTTCATTATCAGGAAAGTTATATTTTCAACTATTTCACCAACAGCGATGATGGAAGTAGGCAAAAGGTTTCTGTAGTGAGCCAAAGAGTAAATGTTTTAGGATTAGCAAGTCATAAAGTCTGTGTTGTACTGACCCAATTCTTATACTGCTGCAGGAAAGCGGACATAATAAATATACATGGGTATATTCAATAAACTTTTATCTGTAGGTACTTTTATTTGGTTCTCACATCCTGAAATACTGTGAGTTTTTCCCTCTAATCTTTAGAAAAATAACAAAACCACTCATAACTCATGGGTCATGCAGAAACAAATAGTGGACTGAATTGGCTTACAGACTAATTTGCTGATTCCAATTTATGGTTACTAATTCATCTGTGTGACCTGAGGAAAGTTACTCATCTTCCCTGTGCCTCAAATTCCTTATATGGATTCCAAATGTGGATTAAGATATGTACCTACTTTATGGGATTATGAAAATTCAATGGGATTGCAAATAAATTTATGTAAAACAGAGTACAGCAGTCATGTAGTAAATGCTCAATGTTAGCTGATATTACCAACATCAACAGCTATTTATACCTTGTCTATTGTCCAGGTACAAATGCTTATATGTAGGATGTCTCACAATGGGCAGTAATACAACAATGGCCATAGGAGAGAGCCCTTAAGGAACAAGTTAATGACTTGGGATCATTAGTGCCACTGTGTTTACCCCAAGTTATTTTTAGATTCAGAGATCATAGCCCAGAAAATTGATTGGTGTAACAAACACAGAGTCCTTAGGTAATAAGCAGTTTATGCCATTTTACAGAAATTTTAAAAAATGTATCATCCCCACCAGCCTCCAAAGAAAGCATCACAAGATCTAAAGAACATCTTAAAACACATTTTTATGACTAAATTTTAATAATTTAGTGCAAATAATAGTAAATTTTTTATAAAATGTTAAAGATGTTACTTTCCTAACAATAAGATTTCTTTGGAAGGGGTGGGGGATGTGTTTGTGCTTAACAAAATGTCAGGAAAGACACTGTACCAAACATATGATTTCAAAAGGAGATACAGAATTTTGAGACTTTTAAGTCTTTCTGGGTACAGTGATGTGGCAAAAGGAATGTTGGCAAGCTACAAATATAAATTTGACATAACCATTTACATAATAAAGGCAGTAAATTATCCATTTATTTACTAGAGGATTTATTTAAATAAAAATATGCTCATTAAATATTTACTCTAAAGGTGGAAAAAAGTTTTCTTTAAATGAGAAAATTACAAAAGTTATGTTTCAGGGAGGAAAACTTTAGCAAAACCAAAAATTGGCAAGTAAGAAAGAAGTGGGAAGAATGGTATCAATAAATACTCCCACATGATTTATGTCATTCTGACCCAACTTTCTCCATCACCATCCCAGGCTTCCAGAAACCCAACTCTCTTCACCTCACCCCATCCTTCTTTTCTTTTTACATTTACTCAACTAGCTCCCAATTCCCACTCTTCTTGTTAATAACCTCTTTAATTTTCACAATTCATCAAGGAAAACAACTCTACACCATGCTTTCCAGAAAAAGTGCTTAATAACCTTGGCTATTACCATCTTCATCATATTCCTGCTTTCCACACAACTTACATTATTTTGGAGAAGAGAAAGAACAACAAAATACTATTTCAATTAGTGGTAAATTTGGGGAGGGGGGAATCCATCATTAATAAGCAGCATGAGTGTCATGGCAAGTAACTTTAGTTTCCTAATACTTACTTTCCTAAGTTATATAAGGGTGCTACAATATTAGTAAAAAACTACCTTGCAAAGAAATTGCTGCAAAGCTTAGAGTGAAACGGCGCCAGATATTCAAGGTTGGTTGAAAACAGATGCTCAGGGGAAGTTCGGGGAAACTGGATTGCCATCGAATGTGAAGAGTCCCTTAAATCATCAACTCACCCTTCCAGTCCTCCTAATGTATTTCAGTCTGGATTTCTAACCCAGTTTGTGTCGTCAGTTACACAATAAGTGTCTAGCGAGTCGTCTAAGGGCTTATCTTATTCATGTTCGCATCCTCGGGGAGGATCAATAATTATCTACTAAACAAATATGATACTGTAACACTGAGACATTCTCAAGTATTCATTCCTTAGCCAGGTTCCCTTCGAAACTCGCCCCCAGGTGAACTGCAAGAGCTAAAGCAGCGGCACGAGGGTTCAATGAGGGTGGTTAAATAGAACTGGGTGGGGTTACGGAAAAGAAGGGCAGAAAGGGAAATCCTCGTTGGGTGGGAGGGGAAAGCGGGAATGCCCCAGGACAGAGCTGGGAGCCGAGGAGGGTAGTTCTCGGGAAACCGGCAAAGAAATCACTCACGTCATACGTGTGGAAGCTCTTGCCCACGCAGGTCGTAACGTAGAACCGGCGCTTCAGCGAACTGAACCGCACCACGTGCGGGATATCATTACTAAAAAGCCCCAGGGCTCGGAATCCAGCGAACAGTGAGCTCGCCGAGCGGCCTTCCACGTGGCGTTCCATCTCCGCCACGGTCCCAATTCCTTTCGGCTCTGGTCCAGAGGGAAACCGCGCACGCTGCACCTCAGCACGTCTCAAGAAGAACCTTTGCCAGAGCTGGAAACTCGCGACCGCTTCCGGTACCTGCTGCCAATGGCGTTTGTGCGGACTGCCCTTAGTGCAACATGCAAAGAGCTCCCTCCTCAGCCCGCAGGAGATGGGCGACTTTGGTTCCGCTGGCCTCCGTGTCCACACGTTGTTCTGCGGTGCGCTCTGGCTCTGTAGCTGGCGGAACCTTACGGTTGGGGAGCGGGAATCGCTGCGCCCTGGAAGGATAAGCTTGTGATGATGATGATGATGATGATGATGATGATGATGATAATTTTAAAAAGTATAAACCCCCGAGATTATTGAGAATATCTGAATACTGGATATACAGAAGTTACAGTTAAATTTTAAGTCTATGATAGCAGTAAAGATCCTGTTTTGAAGAGACATATTTACAGATGAAATGATTACAAAATGTGTGAGGATTTACTCCAAAATAATTGTAAATGAGAAGCCCGATTTGATGAAATAAGATTAATAATTGTTGAAACTAGGGAATGGGAGCGTTCATAATGCTATACTTTGGTATAAGATGGAACTATTCCATAATAGAAAACATTTTTGCTTTTTAATTTTACCACTTAATCATGGACATATATATAATTTTCATTACCAGATGTATATTTTTAAAGTTTTCTGAGTTGTGAATAAAGCAGGCAGATATTGCTTTTTTTTTTTTTTAATTTTTTTTTTCCTTTTTTGGTACCAGGGATTGAACCCAGGAGTGCCTTATCATGGAGCCACATCCCAGCCCTTTCTTGTATTTTATTTAGAGACAGGGTCTCGCTAAATTGCTGAGGCTGGTTTTGAACTCATGATCCTGCTGCCTCAGCCTCCCAAGTCACTGGGATTACAAGCATGTGCCACCATGCCGGGCCAAATATTGATTTTATACTCAGAATAAATACTTTTCAATATATTGGGAGCTTGGGAAGCTGTGAAGATGGCCTTAGGCCTGAGCCTAAGCAACTCCATTTCAAAAACTCCAATTTGAAACCTGCAGTGTCACCAGGCACAGCCAACAGATCCCTCCGGTAAGGCCACAAACACATTACTTCCCCTCTCCCTGATAAACAGAGTGAAGTCTCTGGCCGACTGTCCTAGCCTGACAAGAGGAAAAGGGGAAAAGATCAGGGTAGAGACCACCAAACCAGATGTTTCTGACCCCAGGGTAAATGATGTCATGGAGAAATATGGTGGAAGCTGATATGGATTGAAAGGGGGTTCAAAAGCCCCAAAATTTAGTATAAATAATAGAGTTAATGAAAAGGGATTCCACCAGCTGAAACAAGGATGTACTGGAGCTGGAGAGCCTAATGAGGACTTGACACCTCATCACTTGTTATCATTTCTTGATCCTCTGTGTGGTCCTCATGGCTCTCAAACTCTACCGCCTCATCTGGACCTTGGTGAGAGCCATAACTTCTCCATACCGCCCTCTCCTCAACCAGTCATCCACTCCACACTAGGAAAAGCCTACCTTAGTTCCAGATCTGATCACCGTGGCCTGAGTGAGTGTGCATCTGCTGGACATAAAGCCTAAGGCTTAAGACTTTTGAATTTAGCATGCAGAGGGAATGTCTGTCATTAGCCTGTCATGGTTAAGTGTGTTTGCAGTGCCTAGAATTAATCTAGAATTATTTTCAGTGAATTAATTAATCTAGAATTGTTTGCTGTGAATTATGTCCATTGCAGTGCCTAGCCTTAAGGATTGTCGTTTTCTTGATTAAGAACCTATAGTGTCGGCTCTCGTGGAGGCAGCTAGCAGGAGGCTAGGGAACGTTGAGCCGCGCGTTGTGCCCTGCGCTGCCCAGACTATTGAACAATACAGTCAGGGTGGCTAAATGTGACCCCAAGAAACCAAGGGGCAAGATGTCTGCTTATGCCTTCGTTGTGCAGACTTACAGAGAAGAACATAAGAAGAAAAATCCAGAAGTCCCTGTCAATTTTGCAGAATTTTCCACAAAGTGCCCTAGAGAGGTGAAAGACAATGTCTGGGAAAGAGAAATCTAAATTTGATGAAATGGCAAAGGCAGATGAAGTACGCTATGATCGGAAAATGAAGGACTATGGACCAGCTAAGGGAGGCAAGAAGAAAAAGGACCCTAATGCCCCCAAAGACCACCATCTGGATTCTTCCTGTTCTGTTCAGAATTCCGCCCCAAGATCAAGTCCACAAATCCTGGTATCTCCATTGGAGATGTGGCAAAAAAGCTGGGTGAGATGTGGAATAACTTAAGTGACAGTGAAAAGCAGCCATACCACTAAGGCTGCAAAGCTGAAGGAGAAATACGAGATGGATGTTGCTGACTATAAGTCTAAAGGAAAGTTTGATGGCACAAAGGGTCCTGCTAAAGTTGCCTGGAAAAAAGTGGAAGAGGAAGAAGAAGAAGAGGAGGAGGAGAATGAATAAAAAACTGTTTACCCGTCTTCTTGTGAATACCTTAGAGTAGGGGAACGCCATGATTGACACATCTTATTTGAGATGTGTCTGTTACTCTCATTAAGTTTAATTTCAGAATTTGATCACGATCATATTGTAGTCTTTCAAAGTGCTCTAGAAATTGTCAGTGGTTTACATGAAGTGGCCCTGGGTGTCCAGAGCACTCTAAAACTGTATCAAAGTTGTACAGATTTCCAAACATTTTTAAAATGAAAAGGCACTCTCGTGTTCCTCTCACTCTGTGCACTTTGCTGTTGGTGTGACAAGGCATTTGAAGATGTTTCTGGTATTTTTTTTTTTTTAATTTGTAAGGTTGTGTTAACTATATGGTTATTGGCTAGAAATTCTCAGTTATCAACTGTACATATCTATAGTCTGTAAAAAGAACAAAACAACTGAGACAAACTCTTGATGCTCCTTGCTTGGCGTTGAGGCTGTGCGGGGGAAGATGCCTTTTGGAGGGGCTGTAGCTCAGGGCCTGCACTGTAAGGCTGGACCTGTTGACACTGCAGTGGGCATCCATTTAGCTTTAGGTTGTCTTGTTTTTGTATATAGTGATATAGCATTCTGCTGTCTTTCTTAGTTGTAGAAAAAGGGGGGTCAGCTGGCATGAGAAGTGTTTGAATTTTTTTTAGTTAAGTACGGTAGATTTTAAACTTTGTTTTCAAACAAACTGTAGAACTCTTCATTGTCAGCAAAGAGCCACTGCATCAATGAAAGTTCAAGAACCTTCTGTACTTAAATGCAATTTGCAATATTATGTTATTTTTTGTATGTTTAGAATGCTGAAATGTCTTTGAAGTTAAATAAACAGTATTACATTTAAAAAAAAAAAAGAACCTATGGTGCGAAATTGTATTGAGTAATTTGAGTGAATAAAGCATTAAAATGGACAGAAATGCGTGGACATTCTTTATTTCTCCCCCTCGACTACATATGTCACAATTTTGCCCCCTCACGATAGAAGGGGAATTGGAAATGTTTCATAACTGGGAGTTTATAAAGCCCTTGATGTCTATTATTTTCATATGCTCAAAATAAGTTTGTGAAGGAACAAAATTTATATTGCTGCTTTGTATATGAGGAAATAGGTTCATTGGATGACTTCCCAAAGCTCCAGAACTATTTGGTGCCCAAAGCCTGACTAACAGGTTTAGAGAAGGAAAGAAGAATGGGAGATCACTGAAAGGCAGTTGGAGTTTGGGAGAAATATACATTTAACAAACGTATTTTCAAGATCAAACACTGGGCCACGTAATGGGTGTATGTTCACCTTGGATAAAGATCCTGAAGTTCCCATAGTTTACCTAACTTTCCCAAAGTCACTTAAATGATGGTAGTATTGATACTGCCAGTTACCAGTGACTAGTTCTGCTCCCTCAAATGTTTAAATTTGAACATTAGAGAAGCATGCCCAGGCAAACATATAAAGCAGGGTTTATTTAAAAAGGAGTAACAGACTTCTCCCTGGAGAGAGAAGGGGGCCATAGGGGGTATCCTGGTATCCCAAGAAGTGAGGTCTTCTGCCCTTTTTATATGTCCTAGGCTTCCTCTGGTCTCCTGCCTTTCCCCCCTTATCTTTCTCCTTCCTGCATACTTGACTAGGCTCAGGACTAGGCCCAGGAATGCTAGGTGGGACAGCCCAAAGGTGGAAAACCTGTAGGCTGAAGGGGGAAGGGCAGGATGGAGTAGCCAAGGACACATTAACAACCTTATAGCTCCCTGTAGGGAGGGGCAACTCCTGGGACAGGTAACCTTGGCAACAGGTTGGAGCAGGAGCAGGTTCTTGATAAGGGTGGAGGAAGGGCTCTGAAGGAATTAACATTTCAATCCTTGGACAGTCCCCAACTTGTTGGACTCACTCAAAATTGGCCTGACTTGATTTACCTGTCTATACTGACTGCCTATTTAATTCTGGCTTCAGTATAACAGTTGGAATTTAGGTTTGACAAACAGATCCACCTATGCTTTTTGACCTATAGATAGTGAAACAAAAGTTTTAGGATCAAAGCTGAAATGGAATATCTAGTAGTATGGTAGCAGTAAATATCATGTTAGCTGTTCCACTATGATAATTTGAAAGACGGGTATTATGGGCTGATTGTGGGTTTCTAGTTTTAGCATTCAGCCAGAGTTCATTTCACCACTTGTGTTACTTTAGTTAGTTGCTACTAAGTTGCCAGCTAGGCATGAGAATGTGTGATAAAAAAAAAGGAAACTAGCTGTTATCATTTTTACTTATACAAACTCCAAAGACACTATCACAAATTTAGAATTTGAAAAGGTGAGAATAAAGGTCTAGAATATTGTGGTAGAAGTACTATATAACTGACAAATGATCATTTTCAATTCCATTTAATGAATTAGTGCTTCAGAATATTCGAGCAAATAAATAGCTATGTCATGTTATTTTGAACTTTCTTTTAAAAAAGTCATATATGACTGTTTCTAAACCTTTATATAATACAGGCAGTTTCTGAGAAATTAATGTGGCTCCATTTTTAAAAAATAAATAAATAACAGCAGCTTCTACCTCAAGTCCTGTCCTAAGGTAGGGGGCCCGACCCTTGTCCTTGGAAAAACCCACAGAGCACTCCTAAGTACAAA